GGGGACAGGGTGACGTGAGCCCAGCAGCAGCAGGACAGCAGCCCTTTCCCAGGCCATGGGTGCGGGGTTGACAGTGACTGGCATTTTTCCACTGCCAACCTGTCAAGAACCCGGTGCTGCTGTCCCCCCTTCCAACAAGTGACAGTGAGTGAGATGACGACCAAGTGCCAAGACAACTCAATCCGGTGTCTTCACTCCCCACAGAGCCCTGAAGTTTGGGGTTCGCTCAGGCTTCTCCTGGGCCACGGTGAGAGCAGGAGATGAGTTGGTCAGGTCTCTGCACAGAAGTATTGGAAAACCCAGCATCCCTGTGGATCTGCTGTGGGCAGTCCCGGCAGGGAGGTGAGCAGGGCAGCTGCTTTGTAGGGACCGGTGCCAACAGTGCCCGTTCCAGCGGGAGCCTGTGGGGTCACACGGGGGCTGCCCCTATGCCTCTAATCACATCCCTGGGCAGGCTGGTGCAGGCAGCGAGGAAAGCATCCCTCCCCTCAGCAGAGCTGCCTCACCTTACAACCACTGCCTGAGCCAACCCTCGGCGCAGCGATTGAGGTTTGTCCATCAGTATTTAATATCGGCGTCCCTGACCCGCCGGCCCCTCCCCGGGGAGGCTCCGCAGGGCTGTGTTTGTATGCGGCGCACGCAGACAGACAGCAGCCGGGAAGCGCCCGTCAATCACAGCCCCTTTCAGCCTGTCACCTCAAAATAAAGGGAGAAAGAGGGGGTGGTGGCTCCGATGGGAAACTGGGGGCTGCCTGCACCGCACCCGCTCCACCGGCGTGTTGGGAAGGGATGCACCACCCCAGGGGTGCCTTCGGCCACACCTCGACATTTGTAGCTTTCAGTGATGCTGTGTGGATGGGAGACCCCAAAGGAGAGGACTGAGGTGCTGTCTTGAGGAAGAGGAATGGTGTGGAGAAGTGAGACTGCATCTTGGGGAAGGGGGGAATATCCGTAACACCATCAGAAATGTTGCACTTTTGGAAATGCCCAAATATTTTGCTTCAGGGTTTTCTTGAAAGCCACCACCAGCACCTTGCTGTTTCAAACCGGCAGATTGTCATTTCAAAAGGGACCTAAACATCGGGGGGTGGGGGGGGGAGGAAGGGAAAGGCAGATTAATCAATACAGGAACGGGAACATTTTTAAGATCAGACACAAAAGGCTGCGTGTTGTGATAAAAATTGCTCACATCACCATTTTTTCATTCCAATTTGTCCTAAGCTGAGTGGGGTTTTTTTCATTTACAAACATTTGCTGTCATCGCTTCGATGAGGCGTTTACTGAGCTGCCAGCAACAGGCTGGGACTCCACTGAGCATCCCAGTGCTGAGCAGGTCTCCCTGCCTGGTGCCCTGGCCTGTGCCTGCCAGCTTCCCACCTGGCTAAGCAAACCCACCGCTGCCAGCCAGGCCTGATTTAGCTTTGGAACCCCAGCCTAGGGAGGGAAGAAAACCCTCTACTGAGAACTAAAGCTGGCAGCACCCCAAGGATGGCAGAAGTGAAGGTGCTCCCGTTGCAATTCAGAGGGTAGCAATTTGCCCTTGGTTTAAAGTTGAAGTCCCTGGGCACAGCCTGTCCTCTTTCTCTTCTGCGCAGCCTCCTGTAGGGAAATGTAATCTCAAAGTCCCTTCCACAGATGTAGTGAGGCACAAAGAGAGAGGAGAAGAGATGGCATTTGCTCTGTGGCCTGCTTGCAGCAGGAGGGAGCTGGGCACAGAGCTGAAGATCCCAGAGATGAAGGAAAACCTCTGGATCCAGGCTGGTGTGTCTTGCTCAGGCTAAAACGTGAAATTAATTGCTAGATGTGGTGCTGGAAGAAAATTTTCCTTTGGCCCCATCTCAGATTGAGCAAGAGTGTTTCAACTGGGTTATGCATGCAGAGGTTATCCATGCTGGAGTTATCCTGTATGGGGTTGTTACTCAGTGGAAGTATCTACACATGGGGTTATCCATTTGTAGGGTTTTCCATTTGTGGGGTTATCTGTGCAGGGGGTTATCCATGTGTGCTGTTGTTTCCCAGTCCCTGTAGAGTAGCTGGCACTGCCCAGGGCTCAGGAGACCTGGGACAGCAGTGGAACCCTGTGCTCCCTCTCCATTACTGCCCATGGTAAGCTGTGCTTTTTCTGCCTGTGACATTTTAGCACCTAAGGTCTCCATTTATTGTGTGTTTCACCTAAGCTCTCAGTTTATTGTGTGTTTATAAGGAGCTCTTTATGGTTTCCTACTGTGGAAGGGGTTTTATGGGGATTTCTCTGCATCTCACATTACCCAGGGATGGGGAAGTCCTGCAGTGAAAGATGCCTGGTCTGACTGGCACCCCTCAGAGAGAGCTGTTGGGGACTCAGCAGTTGGGAAATAAATGGCTTTATGCATTTAATATTAGGCAGCCATTTAGCTAAAACTCGCACCTTCCTGCTTTGCAACATGCTTTGGACTTGGAAACATCCATCACTGGGCTGGTGCTGCTGTGCCTGACTGGCAAAGGTTTGTGGCTCTCTAATAAGTGCCTTGGAAACAAATTTTGGGCACATTCATTTATGAAGATTAGATAGCAGTAATGTAGTAGCTTATCAATATTTTATTACTGGGAACAGTTAGTAATCCCAACAGGTAGGGCTTAAACATCATTTAAATAAGATGAGAATGTGTTACCAGATGAATACAAATTGCCTCCACTTTGACATAAAAGAGACATAATTAAAGATGAAGTGACTACAGAAATATTAACACAAGCCAGCGTTTCTTGGAGCTGGAACAAGAAAAAAAATGACCCTTTGGAAGGGATGCTTTCAAGGGAATATACATCCCTCTCCTCCCAGGGCAGTCATAAGGATGTTGGAAATACATACATCTAAGAGACAGGCAGTTGTATGTGAACCTTGGAAATTAAAGCTGAATGTAGAAAAATAAAAGCTACTAATGGCAATAGCCAGAATTATAAACTCCCTAACCTCCACCTTTTCTTTGATGATTTCCACTTTCTGTGGTGACAGTAGTGTTTTATAAAAGCTTTATAATACCCCTTTCCCACTTCTTTGGGCATGCTACAATTTGTTGAGTGTGCCCAGGATTTGGTTGGCACAGGGAGAATGATGCATCACGTATCCCTGTGCTTGCCAACACTGTTTGGGGGAGACCTGGGAGGGAACAGGCATAGCCCATGTGCTGGCATGAAGTGTCCATGAGAGAACCTGAATGTGGGAAGGAGGAAATGATGATAAAACGGGGTACATTTGCAGGCCCCATTCCTAACCCTTGACACCCAGCCCTAAAAGCTGTTGGGCACTGCTGGTGGGTGTCAGTGAGCCCTGGTGCCTTCAGCATCTCTGGTGTTACGGGTGCCTTCACCTCTGGGACACAAAGACTTGCATGTGCCTTGCTCTGCTTCCATCTCCCTGTTTTGTTCATCACCAAAACTTCTTTAAATGATCCCCATTTTCTGATGGTTTTCCTGCAAGGGTTTTGCTTACATCTGGTCGTCTTCTTGTAGGAATGGGGCTGATCCAGCACGTTTCCTGTGTGCTTTTTGTATCGGCCAAAGAAAGAGAAAGGATTTAAAGCTCACTGGTGGCTGCAGGACTGCCCATCCCCTCCCTAGCCAGCCCCAGCCCCTCCACATCTCCCTCAGGGGTGACACATGGGATGGGGACACATGGAAGTGGGAGCTATCTGGGGCCAGTGGAAGCCTGGATGCAGCACTCCCTGTGTGGGTCCCTGGGGCATCCCCAGGCTGGGACTCGGGCAATGCTCGGAGATAACCTCTGCAGGATGTGTGCTGACTTTTGACTTCTCTTTCTGGGCCAAAGTTGGTCAAGACAGGGGACTAATAATGTCCAGTTCCCACAGATATTTTGAACAAGACTGGGTAAACAGTGGTTTTTTTTATTTTATGGGGTCCAAGCCAAGAACTCAGGCATCTGGGGGTGGCAAAGAGGTTCTGGTTTGATACCTTCAAACATCTCTATGGGGTAAAACATCCCATTCACTTAAAATATCCAACCCGGGGTTAATTCCAGGTGCCTTCAGGTCTTCTCTGTCCAACACTGGTGCTGCCACCTCCATTTTTCTTGCCTCAGTTTCCCCAGCTGTAAATTGTTGATCATTCTCAGTAAGGACATTTAAAGCTGAAGAAAGAAAAGCTCTGTTTCAATCTAAAGTGTTACTGCTGTTATTATTATTGACTTTTAAGTCTAAAGTCAGTGTGTTGAAACCTGGGAACAGTTTAATTAGGGATGCCTCAAACGCTGTCACATCAATGTCAAAGAACAAGCTGAGCTTTTTCTTTTCCTTTTGACACATCAAGTCTTCAGTCTGTCACTGGCCTTAACCCCAAACTTGCTGCCATGGAGATTTTTATGATATATTAGACATTCCTGATGCATTTGCAAGCGGGAAGGGGGCTGTTCCAGGGACCCAGGCCAGAGGGATGGGGTAGTTTGTGGGTGACTGACAGTGCAGATGCTTCCTGTAGGTGCTTGTGGAGAGGCACGAATGAGCTCACTGTCCCCATTGCCACCTCCAGCATCTCCCTAGGTCTAGGCATGAGCTGGAGGCAGGTGGACATGTAGAGCTGGCTTGATAAAACTCATGTGGATGTGTTGTGTTCTGTGTCTTCTCGTGGTGGTAGCTGAGGGAGCTACCTGTTGGGTTTGGCACCTGTTTGGTTTTTATCTTGAGCATCTGGATGTTGGGGTTGTCATCATTTGACTGCATTCATGGTAAGCATCTGGTAACAGGTCAACCAAAACTGCTGAAGTTGACCCAAAGGCAGCATCCCCCACTGGCACAGGGCAAGTGTGCAGCACTTGCAGCATGTTGCCATGTCACTGAGGGGTGCCAGCACCGTTGTGCCCAGCCCCTCAACGCAATCCAAACACCGAAGGGGTGTCACAGCGATCCTGTGCCGATGCCCATCTCCCTACCCTGGGTGCCCCCTCCCTTGTCCCCAGCATCCCCACGTGCAGCTGGGTGTGACAGTGGGATCTCCTCTTGCTCCCGCAGGCTGTTTGCAGTGAAGTGTGCCGGGTGCCTGGAGGCCATCGCGCCCAGCGAGCTGGTGATGCGCGCCCAGAAGAGCGTCTACCACCTGCGCTGCTTCTGCTGCTGCGTCTGCGAGCGGCGCCTGCAGAAGGGCGACGAGTTTGTGCTGAAGGAGGGGCAGCTGCTCTGTAAGGGCGACTACGAGAAGGAGCGGGAGCTGCTGAGCTTGGTGAGCCCGGCTCTGTCGGATTCTGGTAAGGGGCCGCCCGCGCCCGGCGTCTCCCTGGCTGGTCCCACTCCGAGGCCCCTGCGAGCACGGTGGGGTCTGGAGGTGAGGTTTGGGCTCGCTGCCCTGAACTTCTGCCTTTCTGTCTGAGGGGGAAAGCTCTATAAGCACTGTTGGGTCCTCCAGCCAGAGTCTCTCCCATATCAGTGGCAAGGGCTTGAGCAGGGACCTTGGCAGTGGAGAGGGACTGCATGGATAAAGGGTGCTCTGTGGACCATCCCATCTCATTAGGCCCATTTCTATGAGGGTTTGTGATCCTGGCCTGTGCAGGGCACCAGCATCCCATCCTGAGGGCTGTACAGCCTCCCTGGTTGTGGGAGGGAGAGTCATACTGGTTGAAATGACATGTCACACCTTCTCACCTGGGGAAATGGAAGAACTGCCTCTGGTAAAATACACTCTAACTGAGAGATTTCTTCCTAAAAAAAATCACAGTTCCAAGCATTCCACTGACTACCTTGGGCTAAACCTCCCCTGTGCCTCACTGCCCTTGCCTGGGACCCTGGAAAGGCCGAGTGAAAGAAGTGAGCTGCTTCTGCTGCACTCGCCCTTTTTAATAACAAGGGGAAACTGAGGCACAGAGCTAAAATGTGAGCTGGCAGCAGGGAAACTGCAAATCTTGTGTTCCCAGCAGCTTCCCAGGCAGTTGATAGCCAGAACCAGCCTGCTGAGCCAGCATGGTGACACTGTGGGAACACTGCAGAGCCAAGGGGGACTGCAGGAGAGGTGGCACCACAGCTGGAGGTGGGCAGGGGGCTGACATCCTGCTCCAGCCAAGGTGACACAGCCGGCTTAGGTTGCCCAGAGCATCAGATCAGCATTAAAATATGTATCCACAGTCAGTGCAAATCAAATCCAAATGTTTCCCAGGAAGACAAATTTAGTAAGAGAGCCCAGCACTGGGGACCAGGGGGGTGGAAATGATCTGCTAGCAGAAATGCTCGTGTTAATGCTGTCCCCACAGAGCACTGCTCCTCGCCAGGGTGGCAAGCCCCGTGCCTGGTTCTCTCAGCTCCTCTTAAAAACCCTCACTGGGGAAAAATCTGCTTTGCAGAGGGAAGGATTTACCTTTAAAATGCCATGCTCTGGAAAGGGCTGCCAGCAACTGGCAGGGGGCTGTCTTTTCCCTGCTAAAGCAAACCACTGGAATTTAAAAAGTAGAAATCAAGATTAGGAGTGCGGTGTTAAGGTGTGAAGCATAGAAACAACAGAGCCTGGTGCTCTCTGCCAGGCACTGGAATGCTGTAGCTGGGAGAAGGTGTGTGAAGGGACAGGGATGGTTTTGGTAGATCTGGAGCAAAAATTTCCCAAAGCCCATATTTCTCTTTAATATCGTGCTCCTCTGCAGTGAGAGCCTGGCTGCCTTGCAGCACTGCCTGTGTGGGTTCTGTCCGAGCTCTGCAACCCCAAATCCTCCCCCCAAATAACAATGATGATATTTAAAAAATAGAGTGAGACCACGGGAGGAGGTGGCTGGGGAAAGCTGGTGAGTGATGGTCCGGTGCTGGAGGAGCTGGAGAGGCAGGAGTGCAGGAGGATCCAGCATGCTTATCCCTGGGAAAGTCCTTAACTGATTGAGGAATTATTTTTTTTTTCCTCTGGGATGCACAAACTCTTTCAGTTAAAATAGGAACCAATGAGGAGATGTCATGCACGAGAGTAAGTAAATTGGCCACAATGGTTTGGGTTTGTTCCTAGTGGGGGAAAAGGGCAGTTTGGGAAAGGTTGGGAGCTGTTCCTCCCCAGCGACTCATTGGCCTGTGGTCCAGCCCTGCTGCCAGGGGCTCCGGCCAAACCAAGAGCTTTGACTTAGCAAAATCCTCCAGGGGAAATACTTATTTCAGTAGAAACTCCAGCTGAGGCCTAAGGGATGCGAAGGGCCAGTGTGGGAGTCAAAAGGGCATGGCAACCCCTTGGCTGGTCGGAAACCCAACCCAAAGCCCCTGACATCCCCTGGCAGCCTCTGACTGGGGGGTCTCAGCCCTTCCCATCTCCCTGCAGACCCCATAGCTTAGCCCCCCCACCATCCCTGCCTGCTTTTGGTGGGCACCAGCAGTTTGTCCCACGTGGCTCTGGGGACAGTGGCACAGTGGGGGGGCAGCCCAGGTACACATCCCACGTGTATGGTCAGTGTGGTGTGGCTTCTCCCTTTCCTGCTGCATCCTCCCCTGGGGAACCCCTTACCATGCCAAGGGGGGATGCAGAGGGGTGTCCCCACTCTGGCCCCAGTCCCAGATGCCCTTCACCAGCAGCGATGTGCTTGTCCAGCCTCTTCCCTGTCCCCCCCCTCGCTGCTTTGAAGCCCCCCACCCTCCCTCCCCGCGGCTGCCGCGCACCAAGGGCCACTTTATGAGAAAGCACAGATAAAAAGCGAGCCATATGTTGTCTGTAATCTCCCAAACCCTCGCTTCAATTACTGCCTCCCCCGAGCCTCCGCCGCCCAGCCTGAGTAAACAAGCCCCTCTGAAAGAGGACCCTGCTTTCCAATTAAAAGCGTCCTAACGTTTCTCCTCTCCCTAAATCCTCCTGAGCGAGGAATGTCCTGGCCCCGGCGGCGGGATGTGGGCTCGGCGGGTCTGACCGAGGGCACGCCGCACAATATCCGTCGCCCCGGCCCCTTCCCAGGTGACGTCAGGGGCAGCCCCAGACACTCATTAATTTCTCCCCCCTCCTCAGTGGGGAAAGGCTTGAAAGGGAGAGTTAATTAAAAGTAATACCCCGCCAAATCCGGCTTCACTTTTCCTTCTTTCCCTTTGACACTTGGAGGGATTTGGGGAGCAGGTGTTGGCGGGGGGAGGGCTCAGAGGGGCTGCTCTGAGCGTGTTTTCCCCCTTGGAGTGGGTTTTGAGCGTCATGGACTTGATAGAGTCCATGAGCCTGTGGCTTTACCATGCTGGGTTCTGCCCCTCCCAGACTGGAGGGGAGTGGGGTGCTCACCTCGTGCTAGGGTGCCAATGGGTTCAGGCACCAGTTGACATTCCTCCTCACATTATGTGTAAAAATCTCTGCCTTTCCATCAAAATTAAACCCCATCAGGTTTCAGGAAGGCAGGCAGCCCAGTGGAGCAGAGATCAGCCACTGCTCAGCCCCATTAGCCGTCAGAGACTCCACACCCTGGGCCTCCCCAGTGCTGGAGCTCTCAGACCTGCTGCAGTTCTACATCTCTGGTGTTGGGACATGCAAGAAAACAGAAGTTTGTCTTTCCTGCTGCTGTGGGCATGCTGTGGATGAGTCGTGAGTGAGCAGGGAGCTTGAGCAGCAGCAAGGCCCTGGTTTGCAGGGGCCACAACCCAGGTCCCGTCTGTCTGGGGACTGCCAGCATGAAGAGCACTCCCTGTCCCATCCCTCCTGGCCCTCGCCACGGGGGAAGTCTCTGTATTGGCTGGTGAGCCAAGGAGGGAGCCCACTGGTGTAGAGGGAAGAGAGAACTGGTACCTGAGAGCATCCTTGCTGCTCCACTGGGGTCACTGCAACCCCTCACCCTGGAAATGTTCTCCCATCTTTCCCCATTCCCAACTGGGCTGCCGTTGGATTTACAGTTTTCTGATGTGTGATCCGTGATTAGCTCTTGCCATAGGGTTTGACCTGGCCTGTTTTCACCATGAATTACTCTGAACCAGGTTCACATTCCCTGGTGCATTCCCAGAGCCATGGCAGCCCCGGGATGGGGCCAAGCAACAGCCTTGCAGCCTGTATCTGTATCAAACCAACACCTCAGCTCCATTATCGATTCCCAAAAGAATAGTGCAGGAACTTTCTGGAAAAGGCTCTAAGTGATTTATAGCTAGTGAGAGGAAAGGATTTGTGCTATCAAAGTTATGTTACAGCCCTCCCACAAGCAAGGTCATCAGCACAGTGGCAATGCAGTAAACGAGGAGGGCTGGGAAGAAGCAGGGCAGCACTGTCCACTTTCCTGGAGCAGATCTTTCCTGAAGGCTCCTTGGGTCTGAGTGGTGGAGAGCAGCAGGGAGATACCTCATTGCCTGGGAATGCAGTGGAGCAGCACATCACAGCAAGTACCTGAGGGGTGAAGCCTGAAGGACCCTGGGCTTCTGTCTAGGAGGATTTAAAACTCCACAAAAAGAGGGAAATGTAGGCCAGAAGGTGTCCTTTAGAAGTGTGATTAAAGGTCTGTGCTCTAAATGTAGTTGTCCTCCAGGGTAGAGCAAAGCAGGAGGAGTCTGTGAGGGTATCTTGTCTAACATGTTGCCCCCTCTGAGCATGCCTGCTCACCCGGCATCCTGACTTTACCCAGGCGGGGCTGCCCAGGCTGGGGGACCTGATGTCTGTCACCAGCTGGGCTGGGGGACAGCCCCAGGGGCACAGTGGTCCTCGATGTCTGCTGTCCCCTCACGTGGATGTGACCTCTGTGTCTCTGTCCAGATATGTCCCCAGCTGTGGCCTGGCTGGAAATTCCTGAGGAGCAGTCAGGGGGTTGGGTCTGATGGAGGGAAAATCAGCTGTCCCAGGGTTTCACATGGCAGCTGCTCAGACTGTTGGGGAAAAGAAGAACTCACAAGCCCATCTGCTGGCTGAGCAACCACAAACTACAAGTGACAGCAGCTCTCCCCCTCTGAGCTGCCATAGGGCAGCCAGCCTCAAACCTCAGTTTCTTGTACACATCCACAAGAAGATCCCCACCAACAGCAGCTTGTTTTAAATCTCCCAGATTATTTTGGACACACTGGAAATGATGTGTGTGGCCCATTGTCTGTTAAGGACCTGCTTTTTTCCCCCCCCTTTAGGCAAAAGTGACGATGAGGACAGCATCTGCAAACTGGGCCAAGCCTCGGGGAAGGGCGCTGAGGATGGGAAGGATCACAAACGGCCCAAGCGGCCCCGGACAATCCTGACCACGCAGCAGCGGAGGGCGTTCAAGGCGTCCTTTGAGGTCTCCTCCAAGCCCTGCAGGAAGGTATGGGGAGAAGGGCCCGTGCCCAGCTGCCTCCAGCCCTCGTGGATGTCCTTGATGCTGGGCAAGGACTTGTCCTGAGTGCTCTACCACCTCCTAAAGTCCCTCTGAGAAGCTGAGTGGGCTGAGGCACTGCTGTGGTTCTCCTCTCCCAGGTGCGGGAGACGCTGGCAGCAGAGACAGGGCTGAGCGTCCGGGTGGTGCAGGTCTGGTTCCAGAACCAGCGAGCAAAGGTGGGTACAAGGGGTAAGCCCCCAGCAGTGGCTGTTGATGGGGCTCCCTCCCTCCTGGCTTTGGCCAGGGGATGGCTTCATTCCCTTTTTTCCCCCTTCTTCCTGGCCAGATGAAGAAGCTCGCCAGGAGGCAGCAGCAGCAGCAGCAGGATCAGCAAAACACACAGCGCCTGAGCTCAGGTACCCCCCAAGCTCTCCCCACGCTTGGAGTCTCCCTGTTTCCCAGCCATCTCCAGGCTTCCCAGTGTTGTTGGGCCACCCAAAAAGCAGTAGCCTGACTGTGCTGATGACTTGATCTTGTCTTCCAGGCCAGACAAACGGCGGCGGCAGCACAGGGCTGGAGGGGATGCTGAACCCTTACACCACTCTGCCCCCGCCCCAGCAGCTGCTGGGCATGGAGCAAAGCGTCTATGGCTCCGACCCTTTCCGGCAAGGGCTCACCCCACCTCAAATGCCTGGAGACCACATGCATCCCTACGGTAGGGCTCCAGGATTTGCCTTTTGCCTTCTCTACCTCAGAGAGATGCTGAGCTGTGATGGGGGCATGCGTGGGGGGGATGCAGCGATTTCTGGTGGTCCCCTCACCCCTAAAAATACCTTACTCTACAAAAGCTGGGGGTACCAGGCACTGCCAAGGTGCCAGAGGAGAAAGCAGGCTCTGAAGCCCTTCTGCTCCTTCCCTGCTTCCCAAGGTGCCGAGCCACTCTTCCACGACTTGGATAGCGATGATACCTCACTGAGCAACCTGGGTGACTGCTTCCTCGCCACGGCGGACGCGGGGCCACTCCAGGCACGAGTGGGAAACCCCATCGACCACCTCTACTCCATGCAGAACTCCTACTTCACTTCCTGAGTGCAGCGTGGTCCCTGGCACGGGGCAGTTGCCGCTGCTGTGCTGCCCCAAAAGGGGCTACAGAGCCCTCGGGGTTGGGAGGGAGGGAGAAGCAACACTGCTGGGATGCTGTCAAATATGTTGTAGCTTGGGAATTCCCAAGGAGCGAGTTAAGTTATGGGTTGCATAGTTTCATGTTTCTCTTAGGAGCCTAGGATTAGGGACAGGAGTGGTTTTTGCAGCTGGCTGGTGGATTTTCAAATTTCAAACGGGGAAACAAATTTCTCGTTTCGGCAGGGGGAAGGGGGAGTGTCCCACAGGAGCATCCCAGTGCCGTATCCCCTCCATACCACCTTCGGAAAGAGCAAGCTGCTGATCTTCACGGAGAGAGCCTGCAGGATCAGCTGGGCTTTGAAATTTGAAAAGCTGACAGTGCTTTGGGGAAACATGAGGGAAAATGTTGCTGCAGGGTTGTTTTTTTTTTCCCCTGTGTTTCCTCAGCCGGTTTGAGCGCTCGCTGCTTAAACATAGGGACTTTTAAGATAGATGTTCCCATGTGAATATAGAAAGCTAGAAACCCCTAACATCGTCCCTGAGGAAGGGGCTGTGTGTGTGTATGTGTGTGTGTGTGTGTGTGGGCACGCACATGCGTGCGTGCAGAGCCGTGTGGCTGTGAGTGTTGTGCTACACGGCCACACCTGCCAGATTGTATCAACAAAGTTTATTTCTAAGTCTATCAGAAATTTACTGTACAGCAAAAGTAACTTTATTTTCAGCGTGAACCATATTTAAGGAAAGACTCAATGCACTTAAGTTATAAGAGGAAATAATTTACTTTTTATAAACGTTGTGTTTAGGTTGCAAACGCCCAGTGGCAGGGAAGGAACATCGGTTCATTTCAGGAGAGAGGTTTGGGTTTCGGGGTTGGTTATTTTTGGTGTTCTCAGGTTGCCCCACTGCTTTTGAGGTGCAGTTGAAACACAAAGCAGAGCTGGCTCCAGAAACCTGCTCTTTCGCCAGCAGATTGATGGGGACAACGTGGTGGCCAGGTCCTGTCTTCACTGCTGGACGTGCCTGGGAGGTCAGTGAGGGGTGGACAACGCTGCTGGAGCTGGTGGACATCACAGCCCATCGGGGCTCAGCCGTGCTTCTCTACATCACCTCCTCCTACCCACAGCGGGGCCCAGCCTGCCTCCACCAGCGACCCCATCCTGTGCTCCCAGATATGGGTGCTAGACCAGTGTGAGCTGCTGTCCTGGCGCTGGAAAACACTGCAGCCCATATCACCACCCCCCGAGCGAAGGAGAAAAGAGAGAGAGCCCTGCCTTTCCCACCCCGTGCTCAGGTTCATCCCTGCTGGAGCTGTGGGAACCTGGGGAAAGTTCTCCTTAGGGGTCAAGCCTTCACCTGGCCCTCACCTCATCCCCACTCTCGTTTTTCATGCGTTGTGTCCTTTTGTGCTGCTGTTCACAAACGATGTAAGTGACGACCCATACAGACATGCAAGTGACTGTGAGGCTCAAAACACTGGCTCATCACCCCTGTACGATCTGACACTGAATGTAGCAGGGTCTGGAGATGGCTGACCCGGCGGGAGATGCTGACACACTGTCAGAAATCACGTACCCAGTTGAAATTAAAAAGATAAAAAAAATCTCTGGTAAAAAAAAAAAAAAAAAAAGCCTGGTCTTTTCTTGTGTGCTGTGTCCCCTTCACCTGATGGGGGGAGGATCACTATGAACCCCAGCCCTTCATGGCAGTACCGTGAGCAACTCCATGCTCCATGGCAGGACTGCCTAAAAGGTATGGGTGGGTGTTTCCCAATGCAAGTTGCTCTCATCACAGCTCCCTGACGTGGATAGGTTACATAAATATGTGCTGATGCCACCAAATGGGGATGGGAATTCATAGCTCATTTTCTGAGATGTTCAAAACAAGGTGTTTCCCTTCATCAGTCACTGCTTTGCTGCTCTTATGCTATGTTTCCTAAGTCCAACATGCAGGAAAAAAAAAAATTCTAAAATGGTGTGACTGTATGAAGACATTTTGTGATTTTTATTTTACAAGTTGGAAAATAAAGAGCAGCCTAGGAGCAGCCTGGATTTCCCGGGTTGATTTGGGGTTTTGCTCTATTTCAGGACAGCAGCAGGGAAAAGGGTTGGACTTGTGGTGGACAGGTTGGGGAAATTATGGCTTGAGGCTTCTCTATCACTGGACTTGGTGGTATTAGAGAAATACTTGGCTGGTGCTATTGGAGCAGAGGGTATCTGATGAGGCTCATAGTCACTGGGGACTGGAGGTGGAGATGTGCTTACACACATCAGATGTGTAAGAAAAGGGGCAGATCTGGGAGAGGTGTAGTATCCAGCTGTAGGCAATGGCTGGGTAAACACCACCCAGGCCTGCAATATAAAAGTAGGTGTTAAAATTGCCTTAAAAATTCTTCTCACTTGAATACTTCTTAAAACATGATGTTTAAATCAGTGTGGTTTTGGGGTTTTTTTTTAAATCTTTTAAAGATAAAAGGTGTGTCTTCCCCACCCACAGCTATCTCCTGTTTGAAAAATGCTTAAGTACGTCAGTCTGGCTTTCCATCAGCCTAACTACCAATTTACACTTACCAAATTGCTTCCCCCAAATTAAAACCCCCACAAAACCCATGTCTTACAGACTGTTTGCCTGCTTTTAAAATCTCGTGAAAATGTAATGACACGCCATAATAGCAGTTTCTCAAGGTAAATGTGTGTGTATATGTATAAAATTATTATATATAGTATATAATTCTGGGAAAGGGTTGGTATTGTGGATGAGGGCAGATCTTTGACTAGTAAAAGCAGCAGAACTCATGTTTTTAAACCTGTTCGCTTTTTGGAAGTTGGCTTGTGTGCTTGACACAGCCCAAGCATGAGCCCAGTTTACAATTGTGCCATGCAGTAGCAGATGTGGGTCCTCCTGTCATCTGGATTTCATATTCTCTTGTGCCTTATTTCACGGTGTGGATGGATCCTGCCAAAGCAAACCTGGCTGGGCCTTATCTTCTGCAGGTGGTGGAGTCACTGCATGGCAGATGACTTTTGTTAGGCTGGGTGGGTTGTCAGGTTTGCCCCCCTGGGCTGTCCTTTCATGGTGCTGCTTTGCCATACTGTGCTCCATGTCTGAGCCCACTCTCAGCCCGAGGAGTGACTCCCTAGGACAAATGATACCTTCTTGTCAAAGCCAGGAAGAAAAAGAACAAGGTCTGACATGAAAACAGGTTCTACCTTGCTCTCCAAGGCAAGGGCAATGCCAGGAACGGGTTGGGAGCTGACCTTTGTGTCTCTGGTGACTCAAAACAAAGCTCCTTCTGTTCAGGCATTGCTCGGTGGCCAAGGAAAGATCAAGTCAGAGATTAGTTGTCAGTTGAGGACACTGATTAGATGATACTGATAGGCAGCCAGCTCTGAGTGATATTATGTTAATTAACTTGCTCTTTGTGAATGGTCTGTACAGGAGCTTGTGGCAGATGCAGTCTGGAGTGAAAATCAAAATGGTGCTGGGCAATGCTGGCTGGGTTTGCATCTGGGTATTTGAATCTTAATGGTATTTTCAGGTATTTGTTGGAGACTTGTAGTGCACAGACATAGGAGCCGGAGCAAGTGACCTTCCTAGAAGGATGTGACCTTGCTGTTTAAGAAAACCACCTCCAGATGAAGGGTTGGATCCTTGCCTTGCTCCAAATGGCCTGGCTCAGCATGTAGCTGAAATCAGTGGAGCTGTGCTGGCTCCTGCCAGCTGCAGTGTGGGCATGAGGAATCTCCAAACCTAGCAAAGGTCCTGGGGCAGTGAGGAGACCCGTGTGTGACCTCCAGGTCATGGCCATCTCCCCAGTCTCTGCTGCATGGGGTGTTTGGGGGCTGCTTTCTGGTGGAATGTGGGCTGGCCCTCCTGTGTGAGGAGAACCTGCAGGAGAGTTTCTCGTGTGCCCACATCAGTGGGTCATCTTTCTGCACATTGAAGGTGGAGAGGGCATCCCAAGGAAGCCACAGGCAGGCTCTTTCCTTGGAACCGGACACAGGAGGTGACAAATCCTAGGTAGTTTTTTTTGGTGGGAAAATGCCAAAGCTTTGGTTTCTCCTATCACTTTTCCAGAGTGAAATAATTTGCCAGATGTTTGATACCTACACTGATGCTTTTCTGGGCACTAAAAATCACCCATCATTAGAAAACCCTTGTCTTGTGACACATGATAGAGCTCAAACCACCGAGGGCGAGTGTCTTGGCTTTATGGTAGGTCTGTGAGCAAGATCCCAGGTCACACCAGCTGTCCAAATGTGTGACTTGAGTTTGCTAAGTCTTTTCTTCCACTGCTGGTCATCTGTGTGGAAAGTTCATTTAAAAAACAAAACAAACAAACCCCAAACAAACCAAACCCTCTTTATAAAGTGGTGAAAACCTGCAATGGAAAGGCAAGAAAAGGGTTAGAAGCTCTTCAGGTGTAAAAAGGTGCGTAACAGCCTCCTATCTTGTTGGAGATCAGACCGAATTCTTGTCTCCATTCCTTGAAGTAGCAACGTGTTGGTCATGAAAAGGTTATCTTGTCAGCTGTAGACCTCCTAGACACTGATGTGGAGGCTGACATGTGCTTGCCTGATTGACGTGCATAAGTTCACAGGCTGAGGACGAGCGTATCCAACTGCAAACCATGTCAAAACACTCCAAGTGATCAAATACCGACAGCACTTTCGGTGAAGAACAGCAGATTCCCACCGCCTCGGGCCCTCTGAGCTGCTGCTTCGGAGGGGAGATCAGATTTCTCCTGTGATGACCCCGAGAACAGGGGGCTCATTCAGAGGGATGCTTGGTGGGTTGAATCACGGTCTTGGGGCAGAGTAAATCCCATGGCAGGAGGCAGGCCAGTGCTGTGGCACAGAGAGGGGGAGCTGGTAGTGAACGCCAGCAGGCACTGCCCAAGGGTACTATCAGTTTGATGGCTTCAAGTGGGGTGAAGAGCTGATGACCTGCTCCTGACCAGTCTTATTTAGGACTCATAGAGAACCCAGGCAGGATTAGTGCT